GGCATTTTGTGTTGAATTTGGAGAAACCATTTTTTACTTTTTGCTTATAAAGGAAGTATACACCGTAGGGAGAAACCTTCTCCCACAGAAACTACTTTTCTCAGCTAACTGAAACATTTCAGCCATTTTTCTCTGTAACAAGATGATGTAAGATGAAGAACAGAGTGGACGATCAGAGCAGGAGGTCTGGCATAAAGAAACGGGCTGTAACAGAGCATTTCAGACAGGGTGAATAGAGATGTACAGTATTTGAAAACTGACGTACTTCTGGAAAAATGAAGCATGTAAATCAATTCTAGTACATGACAGAAAATATGAACACTAAAAATGAGTACAATAGGTCCCCTTTAGGATGCTTGGGTATTTAAATGAGATGTCAACAAAGAGGAATTCCACCGATTTGTCAATTGGTCTGCACAATGAAATGATACAGTCATTTAGAGTGGTTTGATGTGAAATGGTTCAGAGAAACTGACAGACTGTTTACAGATTTCTTTACAGTGGTGATGATAAGAACCAGAGGACTGTCCAATCTTACCCACAAAGGGCTGGTGTGGCTGCAGGTTTTCTTTCCGACAAACAGAAATGTTAAAACATTTCCCTTTAAGTATTGCTACAGTGGGGCAGATGGGGAAGACAAAGCCAAGGATCTCAGAGAAATTGCCCATGATCTCCAACTAGAAATGATCAATATGAGGCCAAAGACAGAAGCGTGACAGTAATTGTCTGTTTAGACTGGGCAGTGTGTATGTATTAATGAGGCTAAATCACATTCAGTGCATTTAATGGGTTGTACGTTGGTTGGGTGAAGAGTTTTATATTGTATTAGCTGAAGCTGTGAATTGCTGGTCATAATGAATGTGTCACTGCATGTTTTTATCGGTTGAGCTCACACGATTATTTAATATCTGTAGTCCATTTTAATATAGTATCTGAACTCGAGATCTCTAAGTTTACTTATGTGTTCAAATTTTCTGAGGTTTAAGTTAGCCTAAAGTAGAGGTGAGGAGTGGGACAAAGTGTGAAAGTTTCTAATGATGATGTTTTTTTTTTTATAGTTCAAATTCTATAGCTTGGAATATGAAAGGAATGATACCAATTCAAAGTTAATGTCTAATTCTTTAATTAAACTATCTGCAGTGTCTAAAAATAGTTGGCCTGACTTACTGAGCTGACACAAGTTATCAGAGCTGCAGCTGTTCTGTTCTTCTCCTTATTTACCTCACTCCCTCATTCAGTACCGTTAGCCTCCTTTGTTATTTTGGCCTGTCTAAGCTTATAGAGACATAGACGTGACTCCTCAAGACGAGCTAACTAGCTTAGCAGTGTTTGTCTAAACAAGCAGGCTGTGAATCACAGCTCTACATAACACAGCTGACTAAATGTGCTGATTTAGTGCTCTTACTGTGCTGCTGTGGTCGGTTTCCAGCAGGAGAGGATCATCTGAAAGCTGTGCTGCATCAGTTTCAGCGCGCAGTCACTCCAATACGGATCAGACACCAACACGACCACCACGACTAGGCTTCCAGTTCGCCCTCTTCTCTCCAGCTTCCGATAAAATGGTGCTGCAGTTACACGCTGCCGCCTGTAGAGGGCAGACAAATCACACATGGAAATAAAATGCGGTGTGTTTGAAAAGTAATAGATCAAAATCCTGATGACTCTTTGTTCTCAAAACATCTAAAAAAATCTGACATCGGGGTTCAAAATACAATACAAAAAGAAATTCATTGTGGTCCTGTGAACAAAGCATGTGAGATGATAGAATGGGTGGGCAAACTGCATCCCTGCTTATTCAATTCAGTTCAATTACATTCAACTGTATTGTCAGGGTTGTACAGTATAATGAACCACTATAACAAAACACTGTCAGGACAGTGCAGTGTTTAAAAAATGAATATATTAAAGCAACAGTACAAAGACCGGCAAAAACATAAAGCCAGGTCAAAAACAAGAAATGCAGACTTGTGCATAAACAGTAACTGTATGTCAAAAGGTAGAGGTAGAGTTACAGTGCGAGCTATAGTTAAGCAATAAAAATTAAGTCTCTGAGTGGATGTGGGCCACTACTAGCAGACATATGGCACTGCTGGCCCACTGTAGGCACTGGCACCGTGCAAGTGAGCCTAAGGTGGCAGACTTGAAAAGATTTGGGCCATTTCTGACACAAACGGCATGTAAGCCAAAAGTAGCTCACATATAAAAAAAGCTAATGTTATAAAACAGATCTGGACCACATAATGTGAGTGATTACATCCATCACCCCCACCAATGTCTTTTTACAAATCTTCGTAATCATAATATGGGTGTGTTCTGCTGGCATGTACATTCAGGCTATCTGGGTAACTGGAAAATTTATAGATTCTTTGTCCTGTATGAACAGGCCAGACAAAACCATTTTTAAGCGTGACAATAAAGTTCTGTTTAACACTATCCTGTCCTTCATCATAATCATCAAAGATGCTGTCTCATTTTTTTTTACGACAGAGCCGGTTCAGAGAAACATTTAAATGTGACATTGTTAAGTTTAATTATTTGATATTTGAGTTCAACTGACTAAAAACATAAAAGCTTGTTGGTTTAAAATGTATTATTTACACAGAACTGATGTCAGTCTGACTCTGAGTGAAAAACAGTCAATTAATAAAGGTCAGTAACAGGGCTGCTTTTCTGTCCGCTCATGTGCTGGAGGCAAAAAGACCGTGCACTTTTTCTTTCCCTCCTTCCTGTCAGGCAGCTAAACGGCTAACTGTCTCTACAGTGTCTCTTACAGTGCAGTGTTAGCGTTGTACGATTATTATTTGTTAGTAATGTAAACCTCAGTGATAGAAACGGTGAGGTGAAGTATTTTTCTCATTGTAAATATATTACCTTAATGTATCGTTAGCTAAGTTAGCTTGTTATTTATGTGCTTTTTTTGTTATGTTACCTTTAGCTAACTTTGCTGTCAGCTGTCACTGCTGGCGGGTTAGCACGTTAGCTAGCGCCTTAGTTCGCGGTTAGCGTGTTAGCATATTAGTTATGTTAGTTAGCACATTAGCTAGCGCGTTATTTCACTGTTAGCGTGTTAGCACGTTACCTAGCGCGTAATTTCGCGATTAGCGCGTTAGCTAGCGCGTTATTTCACTAGCGCGTTAGCTAGCGCGTTATTTCGCGATTAGCACGTTAGCTAGCGCGTTTTTTCACTATTAGCACGTTAGCTAGCGCGTTATTTCGCGATTAGTGTGTTAGCACGTTAGCTAGCGCGTTATTTCACTGTTAGCGTGTTAGCACATTTGCGTATAGTTAGCTCGTTAGCTCAGAGATAGGACATAGCTACTTTGACTCGAAAACCTTCGTTTCAGTGGTGTGGTTAAGCTTAAGTGTGTTTTTTTTCACACAACATTTGCAGTCTTATTGGATCTGGTTAAATCTACTGTATTTTAAAGTCTTAAATATTGCTCTTTAATGATGTGAAGTGCTTCGAAAACTAAAAATTTATTCTAAACACTTCTTATTCTCACTGTTTGTCGTGACAGTGTATGAAAACTAAAATATGGCTTTTGTAAGTTGGTGCTTGAGCGCTGTGGTACACTATAATAACATTTTTATAGCCAAATTGAGTTTTTCCCTTAAAAAAAGTAGACTTAAGAGTAGAACTAAGAACAATACAGAAGTGTTAGTGCACTCCATATGGAGCATTTGAGCAAAATTGTAGTTTGTAAATGCATAAATATTTTTGTAGTGAAGAAAGACTTTATATTCTAAACACAGAACGGTATAAAACATTTTATCATGTACATTCATGACACCAGTAAGTGTAAATTGAATAAGCAAAATGAGCTGCTCCTTTCACCAGCCCATCAGCACTCGGTAGTAGTAATGCTAACCTGTCAGCACCCAGAAGCAGTACTGCTAGCATTCAACTGAATTACAATAGAAATATAAAGGTAAGCTTTCTATGCTTTTTTGTGAAATACATTTCTTTTTTTAATTAAGGGTCCTGGACAAATTGTTACAAACTGTCTTAATTTTTCATTTTTAGCCATTTAGCTCCATTCTCTCCCGTTCATTTTGAAATCACTCGCATGAGCTTTTGAACACCTGGTCCTAGCCCACCTGAAGGACATTACAAATCCTGCTGGATCTTCTGCACTTCACATACAGAGCTAACAACGATGCGGTCAACTTGGTCTTGCACTCAACTTGGACCATGCACTTCCTGACAAGCAGAAGAGAGCAGGTGCAGCTAGGAAAACATGTCAGTACTGGTGTACCACAAGGTTGTGTGCTCTTGTTCCTTCTTTTCAGTCTCTGTCTTCTTTTCAGACTGTGTTTCTTAGGAACAAGCTGTAAAGATCCTGAAGTCTGCAGATAACCAACAGGGATGGAAGTCGAGCAGGAAGTCTCCTGGTGCCGCAGCAACCCCCTGGTGCTCAAGGTAAGGGTGGGGATGTGCACTGTCTGGTAAACAGACAGCTTTGCCTTATGGGTCAGCTCCCTCTTCACCACTACAGTCCAGTACAGCGACCGCATGTCTGCTACTGCCTGTCCCAGAGTGCGGCTGAAATCACAATCCCTCTTTCCATCACTCATGAACGAGAACACAAGGTACTTAAACTTCTCCACCTGGGGCTGGTCCTCTCCCCTTACCTGGAAGAGTCAAGTCATTCTTTTCCCAGAGAGCCAAACTCCAGCATATAATCAGGACAGTGCAGAAGATCATTGGATGTAGTCTGCCAATGCTTAAGGACACGTTCAACAGCAGAATGATGAAACACGCCAGTAAAGTAACAGCTGACCCCTCTCAATCAGATCAAAATTTAGAAATGTATGAAAAACACCCAATCATAGTTTCTGTGATTTAGTGAGATTCACTCAACAAAGATAGTATCCATCATGCACATAAACACCATAAACATAATTAACTTTTTTTAGCTTTAGCTCAGACCAGGGGTCCTCATATGGTCAGGGACCGTGTAACCAAATGTAATAATTATATAAAATCAAAGAAAATGTACTTCAACAAAGACTTCTTTATTGACTACATATTAATAAGGTAAATATGGTATTGAATGATAGATTAATAGGTACGCATAGAAAGTAGAGACATTCACTTGAGGGAAATACTGTAGTTGGCTGAAACTCAGAAAAAGCTATTTTATGGGAATTGAGCAGTATCAACAGAATGTTTAGTATAGATGCCAGTGTAACAAGTGACCTAGGTTTAAATGATCAAGACTGAATCATAGACAGAGGTTGGTCACTTTACTGCCTCTTGATATTTGGCAAGGAGAGCTGCTGCTGCATGTGTGCTGGTGAGAAGCACCTCAGCTTGGGGCCTTGATATGCACAGTGACATCAGGTTGAATAATATGCAACAATGAGCAAATGATTAAATGAAAAAGCAACTTACAGAAGACAGGACAAACTGATAAAAGAAAATAAAATTTAAATCTGCATATTTAAAGTGCAGAGTATGAGGTCTTAACTTCTTCAGTTGCGTTTTCTTCTTTTCTTTCTACTCTCTGTCTTTGTGTTCTGGTACATGAAATGGACTTTTCTCTGGGCGGAGTTAAGGCAGGGAAAAGGGGTTTCATGCTTAATTTTCTAATGAATATGCAATATTTTTGTCAGAGTATCTGCTCAAATTCACCGTAAAATTACTCCACATACGTGGAGTTCTGAACATAGTGGCAAAACACACAGTAAAAGAAACACTATAACATGATCACTAAAAGGAAAGGAAAATGAGTTTACGCATAATTCAAAGGAACAAACTTTCTAAAGAACTTTCTAAAACTGATTACATGAAAAACGTAACAAGTTGCACCAAACACTCAACACAAATAGCAATTACTGAGCCAAGGATATATGTTTTAACCTTACTGGTATTGGTAACCTTTTACCCGGTTATACAGTGATAGAAATAAGGATAGAGACACCCAGTTCAAACTCCTGTACCATCAGCTGCCACTATGTCTGGTAGGATAGACTGGAGATGGGCATAAGCAAGTCATTATTTCATCTTACAGCACCATTCCCAAGCAACAGTCAAACATTAGTAGAAACATGAGTCCTTAAAGAGTCATAGAAAGTTAAGTTGTAGTTTGGCATGTGTAGGACATACTGAAGGGCGGTCACCAATACGTCACTCAGATAGCTTGATGTCCTGCAGTCCTTCAAGCTCCTGTGTCTCCTTTACAAAGCCGTTTGGTTCTGCCCAGCACAGCTGTGTTTCAGCGTTGTATCTCATATCTTTGTTAAAGTCCTGAACAAGAACACTCCGAACATACAGCATACAAAAAAATGAATCCTACAGATTAAAAGGGAACACAAAGTTGCACTTTCATTTCAACTAGCATTAACCCGTTAATGGGAAGGAATCAAAGAAAAGAAAGACTCGAGAAGCCAAGTTCACTTGTCAAATGTTTGTAAGAACAACCATGACTGTAACAGAAAGACTATGCTAAATTAAATATATTAAATTAGAAAAAAAAACATATTGAATTTGGAGATTTCCCTATCAGAACTTTTCACTGTCATGAATATTATGAATTAAATTATTTCGTTTTATGCTCATGTATAAGAAACAAGAAAGGGTGGATTTCCTCTCGAAAAACAGTTAGCTGTATTTTTTAAATCTGGGCTGGAAGCAGCATTCCCTGCAAACTTTTACTCTCAGAGTGTGTTAAGGTTACTGATTACTGCCCACTTCCATCAAGTCTTTTAATGCACTTGTGTGTTGTCATAGTCCTGGAATACCTGAAACTCTTCCCACACTCTGAGCAGTGAAAAGGCTTCTCTCCTGTGTGAATGCGCTGGTGTGCTTTGAGATGACTCTGACAACTAAAACTCTTGCCACAGTCTGAGCAGTGATACGGCTTCTCTCCTGTGTGAATGTTCTGATGTGTTTTGAGAGAACTCTGAAAATTAAAACTCTTGCCACAGACTGAGCAGTGATACGGCTTCTCTCCTGTGTGAATGCGCTGGTGTGTCTTGAGATTACTCTGGTCAGTGAAATTCTTCCCACACTCTGAGCAGTGATATGGCTTCTCTCCTGTGTGAATGCGCTGGTGCTGATGTAGACTACTCTGTCGATTAAAACTCTTCCCACACTCTGAGCAGTGATACGGCTTCTCTCCTGTGTGAATGCTCTGGTGTTGTTTGACAGTACTGAGGTCAGTAAAACTCTTCCCACACTCTGAGCAGTAATACAGCTTCTGTCCTGTGTGAATATGCTGGTGTCTTTTGAGAGAACACAGGTGAGTTAAACTCTTCCCACACTCTGAACAGTGATACGGCTTCTCTCCTGCGTGAATGCGTTGGTGTTTTTTGAGATTACTCTGGTCAGTGAAATTCTTCCCACACTCTGAGCAGTGATACGGCTTATCTCCTGTGTGAGTGCACTGGTGTTTTTTGAGAGAAATCATGTCAATAAAACTCTTCCCACACTCTGTGATACGGTGTGAGCAGTGATACGGCTTCTCTCCTGCGTGAGTGCGCTGGTGTTTTTTGAGAAGACTTCGTTGAGTAAACCTCTTTCCACACTCCAAGCTTTACTGATTTCTCTTCTTGCAGCGTTTCTGAGTTTGTCTGTGAGATGTCTTCTTGTTGAGCATACCAGATGACCTCTGTTGTGTACCAGAACATCTTCTGGATGCCATTTTCTTGTATTTTACCTGCTTCAGCAGCTGAACATTCCTTTTGGTGGGATATCCTGATGTGTTTACAGAAACACATTTAAGCTGGGTAGGGAGAAGAAGACAAACAGGACCCCCTTCATTTCTGGAAAAAGAAAAAAGAAAATGTAAGCTCAAAGTGCAATGCAACAAAAGTATTCTGATCTGAATCATAAAGCCTTCATCTGTATCAACTGACAGAGAAGTAAAGAAAGAATCTTTCATCTGTTGTGGATAAGCCACCCACCTAATTACCCAAACTCTTTAAATAGATATATAGACCACTGAAGTTGTGTCATCATGCTGACTGGAAACTCCAGGACTAAGCTGGATTTCTCCATGGCAAAAACTGACTGGGATTACTCAGAATCGACCACTATCATGTCCTGTGGTAACCGAAACGAATCCAAACTCCATACGTTTTTTCCTATGTACATTTTTTTCACTGAATGTCAATTGATCCTCTATTTTACAAGGTTATTAAGGTGCTCACATGCATTTTGGTACATTCAGGGTTTTTCTTGGTAAGGTCTCACATCTCTCGTCACATCTCACATCTAAATCACGAAGTCACGTACAGACAATTTCAGACACTTCACAGCCATTTTGCAGCCATGCTCAGAACGGCCACAGCTCATCAAAACAGCAGACTGAGGATCTGAAACTAAAGATAACTGATTCTTACAAAGCAAGAGTCAAAATCCTTAGAATACTTCCTGCTTACAAATCTTCACTGGGAATTCTGATAATGTTATGTAAGAAACACACTGTAGTTGTTTTTTCCCTTTGTTTTCTGGGTCAAACATGATATGTGTATTTTTGAGGGTGCTGGTTTTGAGTGTTGAGTGCACCGCAACCCAGAAGGATAAGCGGTTTAGATGATGGATGGATGGATGGTTTTGAGTGTTGATTAGATGTTTTTAACAAGCAATGTAGAGTCTGTGTGATTAAAAAGTAACACATTTTTTTCATGAATAAACCCTTACTACATTAGGGGTGTGGAATAACCAAACTCTGTTGTATGACCATAATTGTCTGTTGAGACTGGGAAGTGTGGATGTATTACTGTTTCTAAATCCCATTTGATGCAGTTTGTGGGTTTTAAAGCGGGTTCTGTGAAGGGTTTACAGTGCATTCACTGAAGTTTTGAATTGCCGGTTTCCAGTCAAAGTGATTTATGTGGTATCTAAAAGTTTATGTATTTGTGGTCATATTTTCTGAGGTTTAGGCTGTGTAGTTTTGAGTAGAGGAAAGGGTAAGTGCCATTTTGAAAGTTTCTAATATTGATGGTTTCCTTTATAACTTCTTTGAGCTGCATATACTAAAAGTAACAGTGATCTGGTATATTGTATTTTTCCTTGATGGTGTTGAAGGTCATGAACAAGCCATTGGTGAATAACTGCCCCTGGCTGGTTACGCCTGGGGGAAGGGTTTATTGTATTGTATAGGAAGGGTTTATTGTAGATTAGAACCATGGGTTTGTTCTATAAAGAAGTGTGCTCAGAAGGAGAAAACCTATAATTGAGCATTTCATTACATTTCCAGTAAACAGTCAGGGTGGCACTCATTGTGTTTTTTTATAACAACTTGGTGATTTTATAGTTTGATCTAGGAAGAGACGGTGAGAAAATCTAATTCTTGAATCTTAAGTGTCTAAACATGGTCGGTTTGAGTTGCTTGTCCAATGTTGAATGTAAAGTAGCTAATATGATAAGAAATAACAGTAAGCATTTGAGGCTTCAAGTCCTCCAAGATGTTTAGGCTTTTGGAGGGTGGATCATATTGATTACTGCTTTCAGCAGATCTTTACAGCCGCACTGTCAAGCAAGGAGAACCAGATAGAGGGTGGGATGACAGGGGTCACAGAAACCAGATAATTCATTTTAAGGGAATCTTGTGCAAATTGCACCTGGTGTAATTATAAAAGACGTTGCCATTGGCTGGGAAAATGTAATGAAACAAGTGGAAATCACAGTGAAGGTGAAGGAGCTTCTTAAAGTTTTCAGGGACATCGTTATTTAACAACACTTGTATTGGAAAAGCTCCAGAGCCCTAGCAAAGACCTTGAACATCCCTCTTAGTACAACTGGATTGATCATATAAAATTTTAATATTCATAAAACCGCATGAATGACAGCAGTAGGGAAGTGTGGTCACCACTCAAAGCTATGAGGTCAGATCAGAACAAATTTAAATAAGAAAAGGTATCCAACTAAATATTAATATATTTCGTTAATTCTGAATGGATTACATCTACATATAGGACACATAAGTGTTCTTATGGTATTCATTTTTATCACACATCTCAACATTGTAGGCCTATGCATGTTTTATTCTTCTATCATGGTGTGCTGCTGCGTTTGTTGATACAAAATGTTGTGTAAAACTGGATGGAAACCTGAGCCTTTTCTTAGTGTGTCTTACCCACTGGCAGTACAGAACTAGCCACAGTACTAGCTGGAGTCTGCTGAGCTAAACATTTTGTAATGTTGTCAACTGATCATTCTTTCCAGCAGCTAAAGCAGTGTTAGCTCAGTTATTACAAACAGCCTGCCTCAGGTCATGTTTTCTGTTTCTGCCAAGTGTCCACAAAAAGAGTTATAGTTGGAATTTGATGCTGTTCAAAAGTCCAAACTTTAAATGTTTCTTGAAATCTTCTATATTAAAGTATTAATGTGAACATGTATTGTCAGTTACTGTGTAACCGTGAGCTTCTGTGTAACTGAAGACAGATTCTATGTATGTGCAAACATAATTGGCCGTTAAAGCTTGATTATTATTCTGACTAATTTGTTGTCAAAATATTTATGTGGAATAAATGCAGAGGCGTCAAAGCTGGTATTAATACATTATATATAGTCACACACACACACACACACACACACACACAGCTTTATGCACTTACCTATCAGCAATTCTGTGCTGAGTCCCTGAATCTGAAAATCACAGTCTCTGAATCTGTGCATGTAAATGTAATGTAAATCATAAATCATCTGGAAGATCATATAAAATTATTTCCATTTAGCTCTTTACATTTTCAGCGATCACAGATATTTCTAACAGCACACAGCACACTGCACTCTAAAACTCTATCACTAACACACCTCTTGGTCTCTCCTGAGTTTTTTTTTCCATTTACAGTCTTTAGTAGAAATCATTTAAGTGCATCCAATCAGATTGAAGTTGGTGGGGAGGGGCTGGGCTTATGCAACTGATACACCTACGCTCAAATAACTGGATTTTATTTCTGAGGTATTTATAAATTCCAGCAGGTGTTATCTGGGGGGTTATTTTGTTAGTGGTGAGTGTGTTCTGGTATTGAAAAAAGTTCTACTATTGTAACCAAAATTGTATCAAACATACAAACATGTGTATCATTATATCCCAAGTGCACATTCATGTGTGCTGTGCAGTGTTGATTTTTTTGCTGTACTGAAAAATGTATTGTACAAAGACACCACTGTTTCATAATGAATCAAATTTTACATTTTGTAAATTGTTTCATGCCTAGTTTAGTCAATTTGAATGATAACAGCCACCACAAATAAGCACAGTCAGAAATGTATGTAATAAACTCAGCTCTGACCATTAAAAAACATTCCAATACACTACACTCCCAAACCAAAAAATCAACTACATCAAAAAGAACTAAGTTAGCCCAACACAAAAATAAAAGGCCTGTTCTTTTTTTTAATGTTAAAGTGTTAACAGTTATTCACTTCCTTGTAAGCCATCAAAACCCCCACCTCCTCAATGTTGACATGGCAATGGCCCTACTGACTAAATAAAATAAATGCATATTTTTAACTCAAACAACCACCACCAATGAATTTGTAATTAAATGACTCCTGAATGGCTCTCACACACTACCCCACCCTCTAAACAGACTTCAAACACCCACCATAGACACTCCTACCAGCTCTTTATCTACCAGCCATTGACCACCAACCCTCACCCAGACATTCACAGCTCTCAGGAAGCTCTTCATATTGCTCTGCAACAAACTGCAAACTGCTGCTTTCTCACCACATTTGTACAAATAGTTCTACCCATCTTGGATAATGTCAGCATATCAATCACTATTTCTATATTAATTAAAGCTACATGTTCAATATGGCATGAACTCTTTTTGCACATTTTTTTGTAAGTGAATGGTTGATAAGATCTGCTTTAAGTATTCAAACTGACAGTGAGGCAGACAGTCATGCACATAAAGGACTAATCTTTATAGTTTGAAAATGAAGGAGGTGACACTTCTGTGAAGCTGGCCCCCCATGTGGTCAGAAATGGAATAAAAACGCTACTATTCATTTGTGCTTGATTTGTGCCATAGAAATCATCGTTTGTGCTGGCAGCATTTTTAAGAAATTCAACATTACATTTTATTGCCTGTGACGTCACGCAGCCCATCAACTCCCAAATGGCACCAAAAGGGTCTCATTGGTTTGTGCTACGTTTGTGTTGGTTTGTGCCGTTAAAAGAAACATTCCACCTGTTTTAATTCTGCAGTTAGAAAGCCATAAAGGTTGGCAAAATGTATGCCTTCCTTACCCTTTACTCTATGAACGAATAAAAGCTTTTCTGGCCCTATATTTCCTTTAAATGTCTGATTCCATTTCCTCCATACCTTTTTCCAGAATGAGACCAATTATGTCTGATATTATCATACACAAACATTACAGATGTGCTATCATGGTTTAATATTTTTTAAACATTACATTTGTAATGTTTACATTTGTAATGTTTTATTTGTAAATAAACTTTCTTTGAATTTCCAAAATTAGATTATAATGCTCCAGAGGCTCTGCATTATCCTGTGCTTTGCTCAATAATGTGCTTTTCTTTTTAATATTATTTTTATTTTTATTTTTTAAT